CACACCTGTCTGTCTCTCTGTCGGTGTGACTGACCGCCGTCTGTCCCACTTGATGCTTTCTTCTCGTTTCTGTCTCTTTCCTCTTCCCCGTCCGTCTGTCTGCTCAGCGCCGGCCTGTCCAGCCTGTCTGTCTGTCTGTCTGTCTGTCTGTCTGTCTGTCTGTCTGCGGACAGTTTAAATCCGGTCTCACCTTCCTCCTGAACTCTTCCTGCCTCTTTTAATGTCGTACCATTCAGAGAAGGCCGGCTAAACTTTCTCTGCTGAACCTTGTTTCAGTTTTCATGTGGATACGAGTCCTTTTTCTGTCTATAAAACCAAAAATAAGACGCCCTACAACCTAGAAAAACATCTTAATTGGATGTGTGCTCTACTCGTATTGTCTTAATTTGTCTGTTTAAGCGGCACCTTTTGTCCGCCTGTGTCTCCGACCTTTGACCCCCAGCTTGTAGAGCCGGAGACCTCGGGGTCGGAGCTCTTTGTGTTTTCATGCTGGTTGCAGGTCGCTCTAGAGGAAGTGTCTGTGATGGCCGTGCAGATTAAACCCGGACAGAAACAACAAACGAAAGTGTTTTTTTAAAGCAAGAAAATCCCCCTTCCTTCAGCTATCCCGTTAAATCAGCGGTGAGGATAAATCGTTTCCTTCCTCTCTTCAATAAAGTCAATTACTGGACGAGGTACCCGCTATAATCGGGGGCTGGTTAGTTAGGTGACACCCATCACTTTCCACTTCCCCTCCCGAATAATAACCCCCCGTCACCACCGCTGCTTATCTCCGCGGCCCAACACTCAGAAACAGAAAGTGGGTTAGAAAAATGGCCGACGTTTCTACATCTGGAGAGGCGATTTTCCACGAATCGAGCAGATGGTCGCGGGGTCGGAAATAGGAAAAGAAAGAACATACCACACGCAGCAGAAATGAAAGCATGCATACGTAATAGAGCGTGAAGCCACGAGGTGAGGATGTCGTCCCCCCCCCCCCCCGATGTATTTTCTTGGGGGGAGGGTAAAGATAGAGATGGAGTTGGAGTTGGAGATGGAGGACGGCCTTTTGACGGAGGTGAAAGCGAAGGAGGCGGAGCTTAGCGGTGAAACTGACACCTCGGCTAGCCACTCAGATTTCCCCCGCGTTACGATAGTAAACCCCCTCCTCTCTCTCTGCCATAAACCCTGGTGGAAGATGGAGATAATTCTAATTAGAAGTGACTCTGCGTGCCAGTGATCCATGCAGACTATTAGTGTTGTCACGAAACTCTGCGGATGCTACTGGGCATGCTCAGTGAGTCTCTGGCGAAGGGAAGGTCACGCCGCCTGGGTGTTTCTGCAGCAGCGAGCTCTGCTTCCTGCACGCGATCTTCACCGGGGGGCGGGGTGGGAGGCACGGCTCTTTCTGTTTTTTTGCATTTCCTGCGATGTTTGTTTGGCAATACTGCAGCTCAGTTTTGCAGCGTTTTTTTCCAAGCTGATGCTCTTTAAAAAAAAAACAATGCCACGGAGAGTTCAAAGCCAAAAAAAACTCTGTCGGTCGACCCCGCTCCTGCTCAATTGACTTCGCTCGTCGAGTTTGGGGGAAATAAAGCACGGAAAGTAAAGCGGGCGAAATAAACATGTCATAATGTGTCAAAGCTGTGGTGCAAACACGGTTAACCTCCGCGCTTTCACAAACACACGCCTTCATTTCACAACAATGGGCCCCTTTAATGTTCTCATTCAATTGGAAAAACCCTTTGCTATGGGTTTTAAATTTAGAAATATGTAAAATAAATTAGATTATGTGAGTGAAAGATATTTCATTTTTACTTTATCATCTTTTTTTTTTATAAAACTTGTTCCTAGTTTCGCAAAAATGACTTTTAAAAACCTTACATTGACTTATATTAATTCAATTTAATTTGATTTAGTAAGGGGTTAATGTTTTGTATTTATGCAGGATTTGCAACAACCAAATTAAACGTATTTCTACTTATTTGTATATGTTAATTGTACAATGCATAGGCCCATTTAATATCCATATAAAATAAGAATACATTTAGACATTTTCAGCCGATTAAAGGATTTCATTTTAAATCAAAATATGAATGCGAAATGTCTTAAATGTTCATCTTTATGATATGTTTTGCATTTAAAATACTTTTTCGTCGTTTCATAAATCTGACTTTTAATAACCCTACATTACAAACTAACATGCATTTAATTTATAATTAAAGCGCCTGCTGTTTTGTTATTTTAATGTATGTTTTGCAACCACCAAACATGCATTACAAACACATTTCTTTAAAATTACACCTAGAGACGCCTCTCAAATTACACCTAGATACATCCATTCATGTATTTTCTGCATTATTACGACAAACATTTCCGTTGTTAATAATCATTTCGCATATTCGATTTTAAATAAAAATGTTGCTTCAGGCTAAATAAAACCCATGTGATGCAAACACACATTTAACCTCCTCGCTTGAACACACACAGCTTTCATTGTTACCCCTTTTGAGCTTCATATTTATATTGAAATGGAAGGAGTCCCTAAACAAGTGCACGTGACGTCTGTAGATTAAAGGTTTTAATAACTTAATGTAAGATTTATTTGGACTGCCTGACCATAATCTTCCAATTGAAGGCAGATTTGAGGTATTAGACTCAGAGATTTAAGGAGCCCCGGGTCAAGATTACAGAGTGTTTGCACACAATGAAACACTGTTGAGGCAATTTGGAGCGTTTAAAGACATCTTGGTTTACTCGTGGAAGTATATGCAGGTTTTCCTGATTTTATAACCACAAAATCACGTAAAAAGACAATATATTTGTTTCTATTTGGTGTAAATACTTTATTGTTGTATTCATTGAAAGCTCAGTGTTTGGTTGTTTATCTAAAAGTGATTTTTACATGTTGTGTTCAAAGGGTAATTTTTTTTATATAAGAATAAGCAGCAATAAGTTCTTTAAAGCAGGACGTCAAAGGGTTAACTCATGCTGGGTGTGTTTTTCTTTACATAGCAGATCTGTGTGTGTGTGTGTGTGTGTGTGTGTGCGTGTGTGTGTGTGTGTGTGTGTGTGTGTGTGTGTGTGTGTGTGTGTGTGTGTGTGTGTGTGTGTGTGTGTGTGTGTGTGTGTGTGTGTGTGTGTGTTGTGTGTGTGTGTGTGTGTGTGTGTGATGGAGGGGGGTTGGTGCTGGTCTACATTCCTCCTACATTTTTCTTCAGTTTTCAGTCCATTCAACGCTCGATCTCACATCACACGTTATAGTAGATTTCCTTACAAAGATTTACAATATTTTAATATATATGTGTATTCTCATATGTATTTTCTATTAATTTATTTATTTTCAATATGTTTATGAACATTTCTTTCCCATGCTTCCATTTAATTAATCGACTGAACTCTTCATATACTTTACTATACATTGTTTTCACGTGATGCAATATTTTTCTGCTGCACGTTATTATTAATATCCCACTATGACAATTATTTGTAAAGTAAATATAATTTCTTATTTTTCTTTACTATTTTGAAGCCAAAACAACATTATCAAATACAATTACTGGATCCAGAGTGTACAAATATTAATTATTGTGTCTTAATAATCATCTTACTTCCACAAATCAAATCAAAGTAAATCAAATGATGGCTATGAAATGTTTTTTTTATTTATATAACGTCGTTTTCAGATCATTTCTTAGTTGCATTGCTGAAAACTTTTGTTTAACGTTTTCTTAAAGGTGGGGTATGTAATTTCAGAAACACTTTTTGTTATATTCCATGGAATGCTCTTAACATCCCGATAGCAATGAATACATTAAATGCTTTGACAATAAATACATTACAAAAATGTCATCTGTGGAAGCCGTGGCGCTGTAAAAAGCACGACCAATCATCTGAGCCGGCCCGGCTAAAATAACTGGATGGCCTACCTGCCTGTCAGCCTTCCATCTGTGGACAAACTTATCTCGTGCCCTCATTGGTCATGTGCGCGTTCGTGTGTGTTGGAGGAGGGGCTCTGTAAGGAAGTCTGAAGGAAAGGGGCAGATTTTTTTCCGGTTGTGTATTTTCAAATTCTAGCGCACTTGAGCTGGTTTCTCCAAAATTACATACCCCACCTTTAATAATCTTGAATTGATGCAGGGTTACCCAAACCAAACAATGCACAAGGTTATACCAAATTGCCGCATTACATGTACACATTGGTATTGTTAAAAACAACATATTTCTGAACGTATATCGTTGTGTTTTTAATTCATTTCTGCAGCTATTTGAGAAAAAAAGAAGCTTTTAATTTCCTATTAAAGTCAGTGTATTGTCCGTACAGAGAGCTTCTGTTCTGCAGTGTGTGAAGCTTCAGGCTCCTCCCACTGAACCACAGAAAAACACACATTATGAAACCTGGAGGAGCAGGAAAATATTTGTATATGATTCCTTGTAACGGAGAGTAAAGGTTAACATTTGCATTTTAGTGATTTTCTGTTTGTGTATTTTCATTGTCCTTCAACATTTTAAAAGTGAATACTTTAACTTTTTAGGCAGATCTTTTCCGAAACTTTCCTCCCAAAAACGTTCTGAATTGTTTTAAACTAGTCTGGACTAACTAGGGTTCAGGAACTTACTACAGAAAGCTCTTAAAGCATTTATTACAGAAGTATTTCATCAACATTTTAGACATCTTGAGGTTGAGATTACATTTAAAAAATCAATAAAAAATACATTTAATTAGAGGTGAATGAGATCTGATAAACTACAATTTCAGCTTCATTCATTATAATACCGTGCTGCGTTCACTGGCTGTTCGCAGGATGGGGATTCACACACATCCTACCAAATCTCAGTAAATTACGTTACAAGAGGAGAGTTATTATCGCTCAACCTTCATTAACATCCCGGCCTGCTGTTTGAATCTCTTATGCACAATAACAGGTTGTTTTTAAATATCTTTCAGTGCAAAAAATGTAATTCCTGCTATGATAGTTAACATTTAATTTCTCACTGCATGTGCTTCTCTTTTGTTTCAGCTCTTCTGGAAACAGTTTCACGTGTTGGAGAAGTTTAGGAAGCTGGACAAAGTCTGTCAGAATCAGACCG